TATTTAATTGAATTCTCTGATCGTTGTGTTCAGTCTGCTCTGTGCTCTTGAGTCTGGTCTTAATTCTATGCTCATGTTATTTAATTGTAAATCTCTGATCATTGTGTTCAGTCTGCTCTGTGCTCGTTGAGTCTGGTCTTAATTCTATGCTCATGTTATTTAATTGTAAATCTCTGATCGTTGTGTTCAGTCTGCTCTGTGCTCGTTGAGTCTGGTCTTAATTCTGTGCTCATGTTATTTAATTGTAAATCTCTGATCATTGTGTTCAGTCTGCTCTGTGCTCGTTGAGTCTGGTCTTAATTCTATGCTCATGTTATTTAATTGTAAATCTCTGATCGTTGTGTTCAGTCTGCTCTGTGCTCGTTGTGTCTGGTCTTAAGTCTTTGCTCATGTTGAGTGGTTTGAAATCTGTGATCGTTGTGTCTGGCCTGTAGGGGACATGTACACAGCAGAGGAGGAGTCGGAGGATCCGGAGTGGGTGGAGTCAGAGCGTCAGCAGTTTATGGAGTTCAGAGACAAAAACAAAGACGGGAAAATGGACAAAGAGGAAACTCTGGACTGGATCCTCCCGTCAGATTATGACCACGCTGAAGCCGAGGCCAAACACCTGCTGCACGAGTCAGACGCCAACAAGGTGAGACTCAAACTTACCTGTTCAGTTTTTAAACACCTGTGTAAACATCTGTTCATCACCCGTCCTTGTGTCTTTGTTCAGGACGGGAAACTCAGCAAACAGGAAATCCTGAATAAATTCGACGTGTTTGTCGGGAGTCAGGTGACGGACTTCGGCGAGGCGTTGCTACGACACGACGAGTTCTAGAGACGCAGAAGAAAATCTGTTTTTTGTTTTTTTTCCTTTTTTAAAGTTATTTATTCAGACACACTTATCTTGAATTTAACACATTTGGAGTTTTGTTATTTACTCAGATTTACTCTGAAGTTTTTTTTTTAACCCTTTGACTTCCACACTAAGAAATCCATTCGCAAAAGATTGTTTGTTGGTAAAGTTGTGTTCCTGCCTCTTCATTAAGCAACATTTCAGGTTATATTTTTCAGATTACCCAATCAGGAAGCAGATATGCAGGTCAACCAGCTGGTTGCCTGTTTAGGGTTACTTTGGATATGAATGGATTTCTTTCATTTCTGCAACAAAATGTTTAGTTTTTTCAAATTTAACATCACAGAGAGTTTTAACTTGTTAAAATAAAATATAATTAATTTAACAAATTGAATGAGTAGCAATGGTTAGAAAAGGTGAACAAAATAAGACATGAGTGATGTGAGCCAGGCCGTTTGTGCAGACCATGTTTTGTGAGGAATCGTAGATATATATTTTATTGTCAAATTTATTTCCTTCAACTAAAATATGATTGTTAGAGTATCTATAAATGATACGTGACCCGGACGTTTGCTCTTATTCTGTGAGATTTCTGAGGAGCTGAATCACTCCCGGTATTTTCCACAGTTTTAAGACAATGATAATTATGTACAGCAGCGCCACCCATTGGACATAATCTGTGTTACATACACTATTCAATGAGGTGAACGAGGATAAACAGCCAAAGATAGGTTTTCAGAGTTTTAAATACAGCAATATGGCAGCGGAAAATAGGTCAACCGCGTGGTTACAATGCAAGTCAAAGGGTTAATCGAGTTTCATCTTTACATTTCAGTTATTTGGACTTTGATATTTGCTGTGTTTTGTAAACGCTACGTCGATGATTTCACTTTACCTCTTTGTACCTCTCAGTTTTTAGCAGTGAGCCTTCAGTGTTCATTTGTGTTTATAACGCCACCTGTGGTTTCACTAAACTTCATGAGACTTTGTTTTAAATATCTGAAAGTTCTGTAAAATATTTTGATATCAAAGTATAAATAATGACACTAAAGCCTGGTGTACGCTGTACGGTGGTAGGAAAGTCTCTCACTGTACGACCCGATTGTGGGACCTGAGAGCTCGCACTGTGTGAGTAAAGTCGAGACGGAGCAGTCACAATTTTAGAAAAAAGAAAACTCCCCCAGTCGGAGGTTGATTTCAGTTGTCTTGGCTACACACACCAGCAAAAAAAAAAACGTGTGCTTGTTAGTGCATTAGCAATAAACACAAGCTAACTAGCCACTAAATCATCATACTTCCTGTCAACTGGAGGTCCGCAGATATTTGTGCCTTCTGTTGCCATGATGATTTCAGGCGCTGTCTGCAAAGTTAGAGGAGGGGGGAAAATCCGAGTCTAGGAATCCGCTCGTGGCTCTGCTCAGAAAGTGCGATTGTGAGCAGGCGTATTTTCAAAATATCAAACATGTAGGAAATTCACTGATCAGGAGAGCTGTGCGAGTGGTGATTGGCGTCGTGCCTCAGTGTACACTACACGACTGACGGCGGGCGATTGAGCTGAAATCCGTACAGTGTACGCCGGGCTTGACCTTTCTGTTGTTAAATAAAAAAATACAGTTATAATTCTGTTTTTGTTATTGTTTTCTTTTTTTTTGGTGTGCCGGCCCTTTAAGAAGGCACTGCTAAGTTCAAACGATGAAACAGAAACAGTTTAAAACAAAAAGTTCATATTTTTATTATATTATATTTTGTTGCCTAGGAACTAAACAAAACATGTTCTACAGTAAAACATCACTTTTTGATGTAAAATGTTCGTCAACCTCCTGGAGAAAAATAGTCCATTTAAAAAGTCGATAAATGTCCGTCTGTCGTCGAACTTTACGCAGCTGTGGACACCGAGGACGTCTCTGTCTTTGTAGAAGCTTCAGATGACTCGTCCATTTTCTTTCCAAACACTGTCTCCATGATGCAAGCGTTAAACTGCAAACACACACACACACACACAAACACACACACACGCACACACACACACCGACACCGACAACCATCAGGTTTTATTTCATTATCTTACAATATATTCAAGTCGATTGAGTATTTTCTAGTTCTTTTAATTTGAAAGTACAATCATCACAGGAAGTTTGTGTTTGTGTGTTTTCTGTGTGTGCGCATAAACTCACCTGTGTGTTTTCTCACCTGTGTGTTGGCTCACCTGTTTGTTCAAGAAGGCGTAGATCAAGGGGTTGTACACACACGAGCTCTTGGAGAAAAACGCGGGGATGGTGACCAGTCGGTAGTCTTTGTTTTCATTTGACGAGTAGGCAAAGTATATGGCGGCGAACATGTACGGGCCGTAACAGGTGACGAAGGATCCCACCATGACGATGATCATCCTGGACACTTCTTTCTCCGCCTTCTGAGTGGAGGCCGACTCCGTTTGCTGAGCTGCTACCTGACAACAAAATCCACAAAGAAGAAGAAGAACACCACCTTTAATTTTCCCATATCTCCACAGTGTGGGACAGAACCCAATCCTTCAAGACGACAACGCTCGCACCCCACAGGGCGGGGTTTATCAGAGACTACCTCCAGAATTTGGGAGGGGAGAGGATGGACCTCAACCCCACTGAACACTTGTGGGATCAGCTTGGGGTGTGCTGTTCATCCCACTGTGACCAACACAACCTCATGGGCATTGGGTTGAAAGATGGGATGCCACCCTTTAGACTTCAATCATCCAATCCACTAAACGACACCAATCAAGAGTCAACAGAATCAGAGAAGATTTGGCAAGTTTTTCATGGGTGCGCCTCACATACTCGGCTCTGCTGCTCATCCCACAAATGCATATTCCGTACAAATGTGCCACCGTTTAAAAGGGAAACAGGCTTTCTGCCAAGAAGCTTTGTTACAACAAAGAAATACTCTACCAAACTTAAATATCCTTACTTTTTCTGCGCTTTATTTACTTTATATTTACATTTTTCGGTCCTGAAATTGTCCAGTTAGTTCATTGCACAGAAGTAAAGTGTGAGCTTAGTTTTTTGTCTTGTGACATATTAAGTATTGATCAGGTGTCACTCACAGCTCTCAGGGCGCCCAGCAGCTGCGAGTAGGAGAAGATGATGATGGTGATCGGGGCGATGAAGCAGGTCACTATCAGGAACTGGGTGTAGGAGTCGGTGTGGTACTCTTCACTGTGAGTGTACCAGTCAGGTCCACATGAGCAGCCCAGGCCTTCAGGGATGTACCTGTGACAGAGATGTGACGGGGTTACCACCAGGCCGTGTCTGAATCACCTGCGGTGGCCTCACACAGGTGGGTGTGTTCCTTACCTGCTCCAGCCAAAGAAAGGAGGAATCGCACAGCCGATCCCCATGAACCAGGTGAAAGCCACGGCTGCCATAGCGTGGTTGCTGCCGAACTTAAACGCTCCAAACGGTTTACAAATGACCAGGTAACGCTCGAAGGACAATACTGCCAGAGACCAGGCCGTCACCAGACCTGAGGACAGGAGACAGGAGACAGGAGACAGGAGACAGGAGACAGGAGACAGGAGACAGGAGACAGGAGACAGGAGACAGGAGACGAGATACATGAGATAAGATGTAGAACACAGGGTGTAGTCACCTGTTACATATGTAATCTACCTCTACCTGATGTCATCTACCTGAAGATGATGTCATCTACCTGAAGATGATGTCATCTACCTGTAACTGATGTCATCTACCTGAAGATGATGTCATCTACCTGAAGATGATGTCATCTACCTGTAACTGATGTCATCTACCTGAAGATGATGTCATCTACCTGAAGATGATGTCAGCTACCTGTAACTGATGTCATCTACCTGAAGATGATGTCATCTACCTGAAGATGATGTAATCTACCTATACTTGATGTCATCTACCTGAAGATGATGTCATCTACCTGAAGATGATGTCATCTACCTGTAACTGATGTCATCTACCTGAAGATGATGTCATCTACCTGAAGATGATGTCAGCTACCTGTAACTGATGTCATCTACCTGACGATGATGTCACCTACCTGTAACTGATGTCATCTACCTGAAGATGATGTCACCTACCTGTACCTGATGTCATCTACCTGTAACTGATTTCATCTACCTGAAGATGATGTCATCTACCTGTAACTGATTTCATCTACCTGAAGATGATGTCATCTACCTGTAACTGATGTCATCTACCTGTAACTGATTTCATCTACCTGTAACTGATGTCAACTACCTGTAACTGATGTCATCTACCTGTAACTGATGTCATCTACCTGAAGATGATGTCATCTACCTGTAACTGATTTCATCTACCTGTAACTGATGTCACCTACCTGTAACTGATGTCATCTACCTGTAACTGATGTCATCTACCTGTAACTGATGTTATCTACCTGAAGATGATGTCACCTACCTGTAACTGATGTCATCTACCTGAAGATGATGTCATCTACCTGTAACTGATGTCATCTACCTGAAGATGATGTCACCTACCTGTAACTGATGTCATCTACCTGTAACTGATTTCATCTACCTGTAACTGATTTCATCTACCTGAAGATGATGTCATCTACCTGTACCTGATTTCATCTACCTGTAACTGATGTCATCTACCTGTAACTGATGTCATCTACCTGAAGATGATGTCATCTACCTGTAACTGATGTCATCTACCTGTAACTGATTTCATCTACCTGTAACCGATGTCACCTACCTGTAACTGATGTCATCTACCTGTAACTGATGTCACCTACCTGTAACTGATGTCATCTACCTGTAACTGATGTCATCTACCTGTAACTGATGTTATCTACCTGAAGATGATGTCATCTACCTGAAGATGATGTCACCTACCTGTAACTGATGTCATCTACCTGTAACTGATGTCATCTACCTGTAACTGATGTCACCTACCTGTAACTGATGTCATCTACCTGAAGATGATGTCACATACCTGTAACTGATGTCATCTACCTGAAGATGATGTCACATACCTGTAATTGATGTCATCTACCTGAAGATGATGTCACCTACCTGTAACTGATGTCATCTACCTGTAACTGATGTCACCTACCTGTAACTGATGTCATCTACCTGAAGATGATGTCACATACCTGTAATTGATGTCATCTACCTGAAGATGATGTCATCTACCTGTAACTGATGTCATCTACCTGAAGATGATGTCACCTACCTGTAACTGATGTCATCTACCTGTAACTGATGTCATCTACCTGTAACTGATGTCATCTACCTGTAACTGATGTCATCTACCTGTAACTGATGTCACCTACCTGTAACTGATGTCACCTACCTGTAACTGATGTCATCTACCTGAAGATGATGTCACATACCTGTAATTGATGTCATCTACCTGAAGATGATGTCATCTACCTGTAACTGATGTCATCTACCTGAAGATGATGTCATCTACCTGTAACTGATGTCATCTACCTGTAACTGATGTCAACTACCTGAAGATGATGTCACATACCTGTAACTGATGTCATCTACCTGAAGATGATGTCATCTACCTGTAACTGATGTCAACTACCTGAAGATGATGTCATCTACCTGTAACTGATGTCATCTACCTGAAGATAATGTCACCTACCTGTAACTGATGTCATCTACCTGAAGATGATGTCACCTACCTGTACCTGATGTCATCTACCTGTAACTGATTTCATCTACCTGTAACTGATTTCATCTACCTGAAGATGATGTCATCTACCTGTACCTGATGTCATCTACCTGTAACTGATGTCATCTACCTGTAACTGATGTCACCTACCTGTACCTGATGTCATCTACCTGTAACTGATTTCATCTACCTGTAACTGATTTCATCTACCTGAAGATGATGTCACCTACCTGTACCTGATTTCATCTACCTGTAACTGATGTCACCTACCTGTACCTGATTTCATTTACCTGTAACTGATGTCACCTACCTGTAACTAATGTCACCTACCTGTAACTAATGTCATCTACCTGTAACTGATGTCACCTACTTGTACCTGATTTCATTTACGTGTAACTGATGTCACCTACCTGTAACTGATTTCATCTTCCTGTACCTGATTTCATCTACCTGTAACTGATGTCATCTACCTGTACCTGATTTCATTTACCTGTAACTGATGTCACCTACCTGTAACTAATGTCATCTACCTGTAACTGATGTCATCTACCTGTACCTGATTTCATCTACCTGTAACTGATGTCATCTACCTGTAACTGATCTCATCTACCTGTAACTGATTGCATCTACCTGTAACTGATGTCATCTACCTGAAGATGATGTTATCTCCCTGAAGATGATGTCATCTACCTGTAACTGATGTCATCTACCTGTAACTGATGTCATCTACCTGAAGATTATGTCATCTACCTGAAGATGATGTCAGCTACCTGTAACTGATGTCATCTACCTGAAGATTATGTCATCTACCTGAAGATGATGTCATCTACCTGAAGATGATGTCATCTACCTGAAGATGATGTCATCTACCTGAAGATGATGTCACCTACCTGAAGATGATGTCACCTACCTATAGCAGATGTTATTTACCTGCTGCAGATCCCATGGCGGACTCCATAGCACACATCCAGTACCCGAGAAAGTAGTAGCCCCTCATGGTGGAGACGAACACCTGACTGACGGAGAAGGTGACAAAGATGAACCCCGCCAGAGAGATGTTGACCAGGATGTAGTTTAGAGGGACTCGAAGCTTCTTGTACTTCGCCGTGACGAGAAGAACAACAAAGTTTAACGGCGCTCCGGCAAATAGGACGAAGCCCATGAAGGCGGTCTGCAGGTAAAACACCCAGGAAGGGGCCAGGTAATACTGGGGCCCCTCGAAGGGACTCACTTTGGAAATGTTCTCGTACAGATGGAAGTATTTCCCCATGATGAGCTGTCTAGCACACCTGTTGCCTTCAGCCTCTTTATATACACATACGTAAACCACTTACACAAAAGATTTACTCCGATGAGCTGCTTTACTTTTTCTAAAGTCACATTTGCGGATTAGGATCTTCACCTTTGTCATCCGTCTAACCCTCCTCTCCTCCTCAGGGAGGTTTCCTGCACGGTACTTTAATCTGCTTACAGCACTCAGTCGGAAAACGGCCGGACATCCCCAGTGTGCCGCATAATAATAATAATAATAATAATAACTTTATTGATATAGCACCTTTTAAAAACACAGGTTTACAAAGTGCTTTGACAAACAGCAAAAACAAGAACAAACTAAAGCAAACACAGAAGAACATAAACAACAGCAAGAACAGAACAAATGCAAAATATTAAAAAATAATTCAATACAATTCAACAGAAAAGAACCCAAAGTGCACGATACCCAACAGACATATAGAACCCAACCATCACAAGAACCATCATAAGAACCATCATAAGAACCATCATAAGAACCATCACAAGAACCATCATAAGAACCCAAGAAACACAAGAACCATCATAAGAACCATCACAAGAACCATCACAAGAACCATCACAAGAACCATCATAAGAACCATCATAAGAACCATCACAAGAACCATCATAAGAACCATCATAAGAACATCACAAGAACCATCACAAGAACCATCATAAGAACCATCACAAGAACCATCATAAGAACCCAAGAAACACAAGAACCATCATAAGAACCATCACAAGAACCATCATAAGAACATCATAAGAACCATCACAAGAACCCAAGAAACACAAGAACCATCATAAGAACCATCACAAGAACCATCATAAGAACCATCATAAGAACCATCACAAGAACCATCACAAGAACCATCACAAGAACCATCATAAGAACCATCACAAGAACCATCACAAGAACCATCATAAGAACCATCACAAGAACCATCATAAGAACCATCACAAGAACCATCACAAGAACCATCACAAGAACCATCACAAGAACCATCATAAGAACCATCACAAGAACCATCACAAGAACCATCACAAGAACCATCATAAGAACCATCACAAGAACCATCACAAGAACCATCATAAGAACCATCATAAGAACCATCACAAGAACCATCACAAGAACCATCACAAGAACCATCACAAGAACCATCACAAGAACCATCATAAGAACCATCATAAAAAGCAAATCAGAAGATAACAGCAATAAGAAGGTAAGAGCAGGAAAAGAAATAGAATAAATTGTAAAAAAAAAAAAAAAAAGCAACAATAACATTAATAAAAATAAAAAGTATTTATACATATTAAACATAAATAGACAAAGTAAGTAAGATAAAAAATTACCAAGTTAAAGCACAAGATAAGAGCATAAATAAAAGGACAGTAAGAAGTCATAGTCAAGGTTATAGTTCAAACCTACGCAGAGTCTGTGTGACTGACATGTTTAACAACTACAAATTTACGAAGGACAACACCGCCAGACACCAGCCGTCATCAGACCTGAAGACAGGATACAGGAGACAAGAGATAGGAGACAAGAGATAGGAGACAGGAGACAGGAGACGAGATGCAAGATTTTATTTTTCCTTTTTTTAATCACATATTAACAGATTTCTTTAAAATAATGTAAACCACCTTGAAGGTGTCGGCCTGGGTTCACATCTGACCTTTGGCTCCTTTTCCCGCATGTCATTCCCCACCCTCTCTCTCTCTCTCTCTCTCGCTCTCTCTCTCTCTCTCTCGTCCTGTCCCTACAATAAATACACCAGAAAGCCAGAAAATGTATCTAAACTAAATCATGCAATCAGACTTTTAAACAACTTTTAGAGCAGTTCAGTTTGGTCGGTGATGCTTTGTGTTGTTCCTGTGTTTTAAATAAATCTTTAAATGTAGACATATCTTACAACATTTACTCTGCATGTATATATATATAAGTCATAAATCTGTAGTCTGGAGGACGCAAGCAGAGCGGCTCAGAGCAGCCAGCTAATCCAATAAGAATCTTTAGTTTCACTCCGTCTGAGTTCAGATGTAATCCGGATGTTTTCCGATTTACCTTGCAGGTCAACTCCACCAATCCTCTAAATCCCCGAAAAGATCCACGGTAAAGAAGATTAGAGACAAAAAGCCGGAGCAGCGACTTTAAGACTCCAACAGGAGAGGGAGGTTTAATCCGATCATGACGTAAACGTGAGCAGTTCTTAAAAGCCCCGCAGCTCCATCATCAACTTACTCCGTCAACCACTTACTCCATCCATCATCAACTCATCCCTCCATCCAGTCAGCAGGTGTTTGTCTTCTCATCACTTTGGCTAGTCATTGGGTCATCTGTTCATCCTCAACAGATCTTTGTTTACCTCCTCTTCATCCTTTCTTTGCCTTGTCTTCATCCTCCCTTCATCGTCTCTTCATCGTCTCTCCTTATTGTCGCTTCATGTCCTCTTCCTCCTCTCCTCGTTGTCTCTTCATCCTCTCTTTGTCATCTCCACATTCTCTCTTCATAGACTCTGCTATTCATCTCTTCATCTTTTCATTGTCTCTCCGTTGCCTCTTCATCTCCTCTTCATCCTCTCTTTATCCTTGTTGTCTCTTCACCCTTTCTTTGCCGTGTCTTCATTGACTTTCATCCTCTCTTCATCGTCTCCTCATCGTCTCCTCATCGTCTCTCGTCCTCGGAGCTTCAGTTCAAACCTCCTGCAGGTGAGTTTTAATTTTCAACAGAAATCCTTCTATATTTAATCATCTTTAAAACATCTTGAACAATCTTTCATAATTAGTAAAACTCCTTAAAAACCTCAAGTAATCTGTAAAGAAAAACCATAATTATTTTAAATAATCTGTTAAAAAATATTTCTCCTCCTATCTATCCTTCACTCTCTCTCTCTCTGAGCATTCAGATCATATCAAATCTTCATGTACTGTGTAAGTTACTAACCACATATTTTCCTTCAGAGCTCCTAAGCTCTCGTCTTGTAGGTTCCTCTGGATCTTTGGGGGACAGCGTGCAGCTATGAACCCCCTCCCCCCATACTTTTGTCCCTATCCTTCTTCCTGCATCTCCCTCTATCCCACTCTCCAAGCCCAGCACAGTTTCTGCAGAATCATCATGAGTCTGGTTCTGCTCGAGGTTTCCGCCTCTTAAAAGACGTTTTATTTTTCTTGCCTCTGTAACTAAATGTTGCTCTGTGCTCATGACGGATTAACATTGTTGTTTTAACTCAGAGTGCAGTAGACACCTTCTCTTTTTGGAAAGTGACTTGATATAACGTTTGTTGTGAATTTGCGCTTTCAAATAAAGATTGATTGATTGATTTCGAAATCTTTAACAATCTTGTAACATTTTGTCTTTCAATCTTCTGAAGTGAACTCAAACTCTGTGTTTTTTGTTTGTTTGGATAGACGAGAAGACTTTAAAGATTCTTACAAAAAGATCTCAAATAATTGACCTTCAGAGCCGGGGCTGTATCATAACCAGACTGTGACTTTTATTAAGCATGGGTATGATACGACCTCACTCTGAGGATGAACACCTGCACAAATATTCACCTTCATCATCATCTTCATCTTCATCACTTTCAATTCTACAAATTATTTATCAAACGCTTTAATCCGACGCCCTTCAGAGAGTAAGAGCAAGGCAAGCGAGGATCCAGAGAGAGGAGGAAACAACATCAGGAGGAGCAAAACAAACAGCTTTAAGTCTGATCGGACACACAGGTGCTGACAGGAAGTGACCAGAGGTGCTGACAGGAAGTGACCAGAGGCAGAGCACATCATTGTCAGCTGTTCTAGAGAGTTCTTATCAGCATCAAAACCATCCTAAAATGTCATCATCATCATCATCATCGTCATGAAGGTCGTAGGTGTTCATAAAGAGCTGGGTCTTTAGCTTTTTCTTAAAGGTGCAGAGGGACTCAGCAGATTAAAGGAGGTTAGTAGTTTGTTCCACCACCGGGGGGCGACAGAGGAGAAGAGTCTAGTCAGCGCCTTAGGACCTGTTGTGAAGGTTGGATCAGACGTCTTTCATTGGCAGAGCGTAGTGGGGGGGGGGGGAGTGTAGACCTGGATGAGAGAGTTAAAGTAAGGAGGAGACGTTTTGGCGCCATTTTGTTAGCGACCAGCAGGGTTGTAAATGTGAAGTGAGCAGTAACTGGGAGCCAGTGGAGGGAGACGTGCTCTTTGTGGATTATCTGCAGGGTTTTGATAGTGCATGTAGGAAGACCTGCCATAACTTTCATCATCTTCTTACTGAACTCTTTTCAAAGGTTTTTCAAAGTAAACTTCCTCCACAGAGTTTTTCTTTGTTTTTTAAATTTGAATGTCCTGATTGTAATTGTGTTTGGGAAGAACCTGATTGTTTCCTTTTCTTTTTGTCTGCTTCACAATAAAATTCATTTTTAAAACTCATTTTGACTCCTTTGTTTAGGAGTTTAGGCCAATTCGCGACGTCTCCATTTTCTGTGTCACCTTTTACTTTGACGTCTGGCTTCGATGTGGAGTCGTTTTTTAAGTCCTGAAAATCAAAACGATGATCAGAACAAAAAATAAGTCATACTCTTCTTTTTATTTTTTATTTTTGGGCTTTTCATGCCTTTAATACAGAGAGAGGACAGTGGATAGAGTCAGAAACCAGAGAGAGAGAGGACAGTGGATAGAGTCAGAAACCAGGGAGAGAGAGGACAGTGGATAGAGTCAGAAACCAGAGAGAGAGAGAGGACAGTGGATAGAGTCAGAGAGAGAGAGGACAGTGGATAGAGTCAGAGAGAGAGAGGACAGTGGATAGAGTCAGAGAGAGAGAGGACAGTGGATAGAGTCAGAAACCAGAGAGAGAGAGGACAGTGGATAGAGTCAGAAACCAGAGAGAGAGAGAGAGGACAGTGGATAGAGTCAGAAACCAGAGAGAGAGAGAGGACAGTGGATAGAGTCAGAAACCAGGGAGAGAGAGGACAGTGGATAGAGTCAGAAACCAGAGAGAGAGAGAGGACAGTGGATAGAGTCTGAAACCAGAGAGAGAGAGAGAGAGAGAGAGAGAGAGAGCGGGGAATGACATGCGGAAAGGGGCCATGGGTGGAAGTGAACCCGGGCCTACCGCTCGAGACGAGAGTCTCAACACATGGGACGCGCCCTAACCACTGCGCCACTAGCGCACGCCCTGTTCATCCTCTTCTAATGGTTCATTTGGTCTACCTGTTCAGGTGAGATATCTGTTCAGGTACCCTGTGAGTTTGTCGTTGTGAGACAGGCTAATAGGTAAATAAAGGGTTAAATATCAGAACAGGTGATGAAACAGATACCTTACATGCAGGTGATCCTGATCAGAGGAGACGGGTCTTAGAACAGTTCATGTTTTCTAAATCATTTTTTTAATATTTAGGACTTTTCATATTTTTTTATATTTAAGTTTTTATTGTTTTCATTTTTATGTTCATGTCGAGTCCACCATAGACTGTAAATAATAATCTTAATACAGTCTGGTGTCCACCAGGGCGCCCTTCCAGTGGACAAAAAGTGGTAATGCGCCCTCCAGTGGATAAAACTATTCCACTGTAAACATGTGACGTGTTTTTGTTCTCAGGTGACGAGCAGGAGCCCGTTTTACTATTTTGGTCCTGAGTCCACCAGATCCCAGTCTGTAGGGTGACTCAGCACATTTTCTCCTGCCCAGAGGGACGGACTTTCTTAAACAGATAAAGTGGATACAATTTTAAATTGAATGTAAGATAGTTTTCCATAATCCACTGTATCTCTTCATTATCACAGTTCAAAACACTTTGAGGTTTTTTTTTTTTAAATAATTATTCAAATTAACTTTTGTTGTTTTAATCAGTTATATTAAATGTGCTTTTTGTTTATAATCACAGTAAAATAAACTTAACTTTTTTTTAAATGACAGTAAAATGAACTTTTCTAAATGTGCTCCTGTGAAGTCCTCCTGTCACGGCAGAGCGGAACTGATGTTCGTGCCCGTGTTTTGTTCCGGTAGGGGATCGTGGTAGCACGCGGGAAGCCTGTGCGAGATGGCGGTCGACACTCAGACCGTGTAGCACTCCTCGGATCCGCCGTGTTTGTAACTTTCTGCCTTATTCATCCCGGCTTCTGACCCGAGACATGGAGGGGGCAAACCGAACCTGACCCTGGTCTACCAGGCGGTCCAAGCCCTGTACCACGACCCGGACCCGGCCGGGAAGGAGCGGGCGTCGGTGTGGCTCGGGGAGCTCCAAAGATCGGTGAGAAAATGGGGAGAGGCCGGGAGACCGACCCCGCGGGGCGGCAAGGTGGGAGGACGGGGTCCGGAGGGGGCGGGGGGGTCAGTGTGCTCTGAATGGACCGGGTTTTTCCGTTAAACCGGGTTAACTACGGACGGCTGAACCGAACTGCGCAGGCTCAGTGGAACCGGAGCTGCCGTTAGCACCGAGGCTAGGCTAGCTAAATGAATGGAATCAAAACACAAACTGTTAGCTTCTGCTTCCGCTCCGCCAGCCGTCCGTTAACAGCGGAGAGATCAAACGCTGCGGCGGGTTTGATGACGTCATTCGGTGAAAGTGAGATTCTCGCAGGTTCCGTGTTTGAGTCTCTGAGGATTTCCAGCAGGCCTCAGTTAGCATGTTAGCATGGCTAATGTAACTGCTCATGAGTCTCCTGGCTTCACGTTACAGGTTTGTTACGTCAGTGGGAGCTGGCTTCACGTCACAGGTCAAAAGTTTACGCCGGTGGTCTCTTCTTCGTCCCCTCACAGGTCAACTGTTTCATGTCAGTGGTCGTTTGTTCAGGTGTGTGACAGACAGGAAGTCCACAAACCAAACCCTGCTGGAATAATTCACATTTCTGCCTCCAGGTGTTTCAGGAAGAGAACTCAGGTAGAGCTAAAAAAAAAAAAAAACAACTAAAAAAAAATATTACATATCTGTGATCTGTGCAGGTGATCTGTGCAGGTGATCCGTGCAGGTGAGATATTGAATAAATAATGAGAAATGAGTCCATGCAGGTGTCACAGGTAGTCCTGACTCTTCTCTGTTGTCAAACTGAGCTCAGCTGTTTACAAACTTAGACCACCTGAGGATCCAGGTGGGTCACCTGCTGGATCAGGGGGGGGTCACCTGCTGGATCAGGGGGGGTCACCTGCTGGATCAGGGGGGTCACCTGCTGGATCAGGGGCTGGATCAGGGGGGGGGTCACCTGCTGGATCAGGGGGGTCACCTGCTGGATCAGGGGGGTCACCTGCTGGATCAGGGGCTGGATCAGGGGCTGGATCAGGGGGGGGGTCACCTGCTGGATCAGGGGGGTCACCTGCTGGATCAGGGGGGGTCACCTGCTGGATCGGGGGGGGTCACCTGCTGGATCAATCTGTTGATTTAGATTCTGGTTCCTGGTGTGACTCAAACACTCTGAGACCTGATTGTTGACGTGATTTAGGGCTGGGCGTTATCGATATGGACCAAAACTCATATCTTGATATTGATCAGCTGAATGGAGATACTCGATATATATCGATATGTATTTTATTAACAGTGAAAACCTTAAAATCTATTTAAAAAGTAATATTATGAAGTAAAAATGTTCCTTAAATCCAATAAAAGAGAGAGAGAGGAGGAGCAGACAGTCAGTCATCATCAGTGAGATGAGAAGAAGGAGACCTGGCACCTCTGTAACGTTATTTTAATGCAACTTAAACTATATCCATATTAACGAGATCGTCTTACCCTATATCTTGTTTGGAAATATATCGATATATCTTAAAAACTCGATATATTGCCCAGCCCTAACTTGATTGTTGTTGTTTTTAAAGGTTTATTTTTGGGCTTTTTGTGCCTTTTATTTGAGTGATAGGACAGAGGATAGAGTCAGAAATTGGGGCGAGAGAGAGAGAGAGAGAGAGAGAGAGTGGGGAACGACATGCAGGGAAAGGAGCCACAGGTCGGATTTGAACCTGGGCCGCCTGCTTGGAAGAAACCACTGCGCCACCAGCGCCCCAGACTTGATTGTTGTTGATGTGAAGCTGATTGACCTGTTGTTCCCCAGCAGACGATTCAAGATTTGTATTTGTCACATGCTCATACAGATGTTCAGTGAAATGTGAAGACTGTTCTGCAAGGCCGTGCAATAAACACTCAAATTACTAACACACATATATACAGTAAAATAGAAAAAAGAATTATTTGAATCTATAGAATAATGTAAACAGTGTAAAGTGTCCAGGGTGTCAGTGTGCAGATTGGAGTGTGTGGTGTGTGTGCGTCATGTTGTCACAGTTCTGTTTTTGTTTTTAACTGAGGAGAGTTAACAGTCCGGACAGCCTGATCACGTCTGTGATCGTTGATGTTTCTCACACACACACACACAGAAATATTTGTCATGTATGTGGTTATATTAACGCCAGCCTTAGTTTATTCCCCTGCCGTCATAATTAAGTTTTTAAATCTGTGTGAGATCGTCATTTAAGATCAACAGACAAGTTGCTCTGCAGGCGAATAAGAGAGAGAGAGAGATAATTGCTGGTAACTTCCTCTTCCTCTTGATGCAATGTCTCGTGTTAAATATTTTAATATTCATTACATTTTTAACCCTCTGATGTCGTTGTTTGGGATTTGTTTCGCTGCTGGCTGCTGTTGATGTTATTCAGCTCTCTCGTAGTTTTGCTGAGTCATTGTAACAACTAGAACTAGGCCAGCGCGATATGAGAAAACATGCCATGTGTGAGAACGCTGTTTTGTACTGCTGGATTAATTAACAAAAAGATAAGAGTGCATATTATGTTTAAACTTTAAAGCACAGTTTCTGTTCCTGTGATTTACACAGCACACGTGTTGACAACATGTTCCTTAGTTTCATCTGATTGCATCAACATGTTGTCAAAACACGAGCGTTATAGCCAGGCCTCCATCCAACAGGTTAAAACAAAAACACCTGGCTGAAAAAGAAAACATTGCTTGACTACTACAGCGATAACACGATTACTTGTGTAGCCATAACAACATCCCTCCCTCCCTCCTGCGCGGCCTCCTCGCTGCAACAAGCAGCAAAGATTACGATTGTGGATTTCTGTTGCAATCCAAATTGCCTCATTTATTTTTGGGTGTGACGATGGGGGGGGATGATTACATCATGTAGATCAGTTGTGCCGCTCAGGTGTCACCAGGTGTAATGACATCACTTCCTGTCCTGCAGATGTACGCATGGGAGATCTCAGACCAGCTGCTGCAGCTCAAGCAGGATGTGGAGTCGTGTTATTTCGCTGCTCAGACGATGAAGATGAAGATCCAGACATCCTTCTACGAGCTTCCTCCCGAGACCCACAATGCACTGCGAGACTCTCTGCTGACCCACATCCAGAACCTCAAAGACCTGTCGCCCATCATCGTCACACAGGTAACATACATGTACCACCCCGAAAACCCTCAAAAAAAACAGCAGGCGCTCAGAACCTGCACCTTTTAGGAAAGCTCACGGGAAATTTGAGTGGGCGTGTCCTACAACTTTGAAAACATAAACTTTACAAGCAAATCCACTGTCAGTATGAACATTTTGTGGTGTGTTTCAAACAGACACAAAAACATATAAATAAATTAATAATAATAATAATACATGAATAACCAGAGAAAATCTAGATGCATATACTTAAATAGATTTAGCAAGTGTACTTCTAATATACCCCTATATCAATTAGGCAATTCTATATAGTTATAATATAACTATATTACAACTACACTAATAATAATACTATTAACAACAGCATCAATAATTGTAGTAACAATAATTACAATAATAGTTTGTATGCAAAGTACTGATTGAGAAAGAAATAAGAGAAAGAACACACAAATCCAGTGCCTATTCACTTGTAATATATCTAATTGTAACAATTGCTATTATTGTTTTAAGTAATAATAATTAAAACAAAGGATTTTAAATGTATTTATTTTATTCTGAAACTAAAACTTTTTGCAGATTTTAAACTGTTGGGACAAATTTGCAACAGTGAATCGGACCAAGAAAAATGTTTTTTACCGTTGTGCAGACTGAAGGAAAACCTCCCAGCACTGATTCAGAATCTAGACAATTATTTAAAAAAATATTTCTGCACTGATTCAGACTCCAGGAAAACTTTCTGACTCCGCCTCTTAATCTGAAAGTCTGTGTTTCTAATGTCGCTTCATCGAGTTGTTTTGTTTTGACTTGTCGGCTTATCTCTCTCCTCTCGTGTCCTTCTTCTTCTCTTTCACTCGCAGCTCGCTTTAGCGATCGCAGATCTCGCTCTTCAGATGGCCTCGTGGAAAGGATGTGTTCACACGCTCATAGAAAAGTAGGAATTCACACAATCAGCAGAAAGAATGACTGTTTTTCAGATTTGGATTTATAAAGCGGTGTAAGTTTGAACGGTTCTGACTCGCCGTGTCTCTCCGCCCCTCCCCCCCTCTCCACCCCCCCTCTCCACCCCCCCCCCTCAGGTACAACAATGACATCAGCTCCATGCCCTTCCTCATAGAGATTCTCACTGTGCTGCCGGAGGAAGTTCACAGTCGATCTCTACGAATCGGAGCCAATCGCAGGACAGAGATCATCGAAGACCTGGCGTATTACTCCAGCACCGTGGTCACTCTGCTGGTCAGCGGCGCTTTATTTTTTACTGTTTAAGGCCCAACGTTCGTCTTTTCCCAGTTAGCCGTTAGCATGTAGCGCACGCTGAGTTCTAACGTTTCTGCTGGTTTGTGTTTGAACGCCAGACGACCTGCGTGGAGAAGACGGGGAACGACGAGAAGATGTTCATCAAAGTGTTTCGATGTTTGGGCAGCTGGTTCAACCTCGGAGTCCTGGACAGCAACTTCATGGCCAGCAACCAGCTGCTCATGGTCCTGTTCCAAGTCCTGGTGAGCTCATGGCTTTATACTGGTTTATACTGGTTTATACTGGTCTGACTGGTTTACACTGGTCTGACTGGTTTGACTGGTTTATTCTAGTTTGTCTGGTTTATACTGGTCTGACTGGTTTATTCAGATCTGACTGTATTACACCATTTTAACTGGTTTATACTTGACTATGGCCTGACTGGTATATTCTGGTCTGACTGGTTTATACTAGGTCAACTGGTTTATACCAGTTGAATTGGTTTACACTGGTCTGACTGGTTTGACTGGTTTATTCTAGTTTGTCTGGTTTATACTGGTCTGACTGGTTAATACCGTTTCATCTGGTTCATACTGGTCTGACTGGTTTGACTAGTTTATTCTGGTCTGACTGGTTTATACTGGTTTTACTAGATTATACTGGTCTGACTGGTTTATTCTGATCTGACTGGTTTATACCAGTTCAACTGGTTTATACTGGTCTGACTGTATTACACCATTTTAACTGGTTTATACTTGACTGTGGCCTGACTGGTATATTCTGGTCTGACTGGTTAATACCAGTTGAATTGGTTTATCCTGGTCTGACTATCGACCGGTCTGATTGGTTTGTTCTGGTCTGAATGGTTTATACTGGTTGATACTGGTTGATACTGGTTTGACTGGTCAGCAGGTCGTCTGCCTCCTTTATTCGAGGCCACACATTAAAGTATTTAATAAATAAAATGTTCTTGTCGGTCTCAACAGCAGAGGGATGAAACGTCCACAAACCTCCACGAGGCGGCATCGGACTGCGTGTGCTCGGCTCTGTACGCCATAGAGAACGTCGACACGCACATGCCGTTGGCTCTGCAGCTGTTCCAGGGCGTCCTGACGCTGGAGACGGCCTATCACATGGCTGTGGCCCGAGAAGACCTGGACAAGTGAGGACACAGGAAGCTGCTGTTTTATTGTGTTTTTAAAGACGCTGTTGGTCCTTTAAGTCACGCTCCATTCTCTCCTCAGAGTGTTGAACTACTGCCGCATCTTCACCGAACTCTGTGAGACCTTCTTAGAAACCACCGTCAGGAGCCCGGGTCAGGGCATGGGGGACCTGAGGACCCTGGAGCTGCTGCTGATCTGTGCAGGACACCCCCAGTACGAGGTACGGAAGGAAGCAACACGCGTTACATTTCATAACAACCACAACATGATCCGTTCTTTAGACGTCCTGCTCCCTGTGGACTCTGTGGACTCTGTGGACCCTGCTCTTTTGGGGGTCTCATAATAATCCTGGTTTTGTTTTGGATCCAGGTGGTCGAGATCTCCTTTAACTTCTGGTACCGTCTGGGAGAACACCTTTATAAAATCAACGATGCAGCTCTTCACAGCATCTTCAGGCCGTACATCCAGAGACTGCTGCACTGTTTGGCCCGACACTGTCAGCTCGACCCAGACCACGTGAGTCCTCTGACCTGGTCTACACAGAACCTCCTGTCACCTAGACCATTGCTGCCCAACATCGGGGTCCAAGCTCCTCTAAGGGGGGAGCACCAGCAAACTCAGACTAACTAAACTCATGATAACGCACAAACTGGATAGTGTACAAGAAAAAGTTCTGGGGGAAACTGTTCACATTCTGAATAAATGCTCTGGCTTCTCGTCAGCTCGTTTGTTAAAGGTGTAACCATAGCAACAGGGTCACAGTCAAACCCTCCATTTGTAATGTATGAAACTCGTTAACAAGCTAACGGCTAATACGAGACGAGGGACTCCAACAATACTTCAACCTGTTTGAAAAATACTTATGGGTCTAAATAGCATAACATTAGGTTTTAGCTAGCATAGCATTAGGTTTTTGTCTAGCATAACATTAGGTTTTTGGCTAGCATAGCATTAGTTTTTTTTTGGCTAGCATAGCATTAGGTTTTTGGCTAGCATAGCATTAGGTTTTTGGCTAGCATAGCACTAGGTTTTTGGCTAGCATAACATTAGGTTTTTGGCTAGCATAGCATTAGGTTTTTTTGGCTAGCATAACATTAGGTTTTTGGCTAGCATAGCATTAGGTCTTTTTTGGCTAGCATAGCATTAGGTTTTTGGCTATCTTAGCATTAGGTATTTGGCTAGAATAGCATTAGGTATTTGGCTAGCATAGCATTAGGTATTTGGCTAGAATAGCAAAAGGTTTTTGGCTAGCATAGCATTAGGTATTTGGCTAGCATTGCATTAGCGTTCTGGTAAATGTATAGATGAAATCCAAGGCATTTTCTATTTCCTGTTTATTATGATCAACAACGTTCTGTAAGAATGTAAACAAAGTCTGTCTGAAAGCATCAGGAACCTTCAAAATAAAGCGCTTTTGTATCCATCAGGAGGGAATCCCGGAAGACACCGACGACTTCGGAGAGTTCAGGATGAGAGTCTCCGACCTCGTTAAAGACGTCATTTTCCTCGTTGGATCCATGGAGTGTTTCTCACAGGTAACATAAATGTGTTGTTGTGTAAAATGTTTAATTGTTGCCCTCAGTTGTTTTCTTCCTTCAAAGACGCTCTGTTTGTCCTCAGTTGTATTCCACGTTGAAAGAAGGCAGCCCTTCATGGGAGGTGACGGAGGCGGTTCTTTTCATCATGGCGGCCATCGCAAAGAGTGTCGATCCGTGAGTCGCTAAAGCCTTCGTACCACAGTTTATTTATTTTTAACATTTGATGTAACAGGTCTTGAGAGATTTTAAAGGTTACCATATTCTGGGGAACCACAGGAACAGAATATTATTTATTGTTGGTAGAATTTCAGCCTAAAAGGTCTCTTGTGTTTCCTTGCAGTGAGAACAATCCAACGCTGTCGGAGGTTCTGCAGCAGGTGGTTCTACTTCCCGAGAGCGTCCACATCGCGGTGCGTTACACGAGCATCGAGCTGGTCGGAGAGATGAGCGAGGTGGTCGACAGAAACCCCCGATTCCTCGGTATGACTTCCTGACCTTTTAGTCTTTTTTTCCTTTTCTTCTTAATCATTTATTCCATCGACTTGAGAACCCTGCATCACCTGTAGAGTTGATTTAGTGTGTTTACCTGTGTGTTCCGCCCGTCAGACCCCGTGCTGAACTACCTGATGAAAGGTCTCCGGGAGAAGCCTCTGGCGTCGGCAGCAGCGAAAGCAATCCACAACATCTGCTCGGTGTGCAGAGATCACATGGCTCAGCACTTCCACGGTCTTCTGGAAATCGCCCGCTCGCTGGACACCTTCGCCCTGTCCACTGAGGCCGCCGTGGGACTACTGAAAGGTACAACACTACACCTGTATGGCACACTCACACTAGTCTATGCAGGTATGCCTAGTGTGAGTGGCCATCAAGAGCCTGCTTATAGGTACACTACCACACCTTTATTATAAAACACCTGCAGAACACCTGTGACTTGTTTCTCTACCTGTGCAGGTACCGCTCTGGTCCTGGCTCGTCTTCCTCTGGAGAAGATCGCCGAGTGTCTCAGCGACCTGTGTGCGGTTCAGGTGTTGGCTCTTAAAAAGGTGAGTCTCATTTAAATCGTTTTTTAAAAAGTTTCTTTAAAACAAAAAAAACAAAAAAAACAAACCTTTTTTTGTTTTCTTGTTTTTCAGCTTCTGACCGATGAATCAACAAATGGTAAATCAGCTGATCCCACCGTGTGGCTCGACAGATTGGCCGTTATCTTCAGGTGAGTTTACCTGTATATTCATTTACCTGTATTCAAAGCCAGCAGGCAGATTTTCATACTGTTTTGTTTTTGTCCGCAGACACACAAACCCCATCGTAGAGAACGGACAGACACACCCATGTCAGAAAGTCATACAGGAGGTAAGGCACCTGAACTCACCTGAGTTTTACCTGAAGGAGGCGTTTAAGAAAAACATACCAACCTATATTCAAACAATGGCTTAATAAACTTCAGTTTTTGCACGAGAGGTTGAACCTCAGCCTGCAGACTTCTCTCTCTGTCGCTCTCTCTCTCTTGAGGTTGCTATGGCGATTAAACAGGTTATGGGTAAATGAGAGTTTGGCATACACTTTGGCGGTCGTAATTACACCTGAGCGGTACGCCCGAGTGTTGTGGAAGTGTTACTGGTGTCAAGTTACCAGTCATGTGACTCACCTGTAAATCTGCAGTGTTTTTTCTTACCTGTGACTCACCTGTAGATCTGAGGTTTTCCTACCTGTGTCATGTGACTCACCTGTAGATCTGAAGTTTTCTTACCTGCGTCATGTGACTCATCTGTAGATCTGAAGTTTTCTTACCTGTGTCATGTGACTCACCTGTAGATCTGATGTTTTCATACCTGTCATGTGACTCACCTGTAGATCTTAGGTTTTCATACCTGTGTCATGTGACTCACCTGTAGATCTTAGGTTTTCTTACCTGTGTCATGTGACTCACCTGTAGATCTTAGGTTTTCTTACCTGTGTCATGTGACTCACCTGTAGATCTTAGGTTTTCATACCTGTCATGTGACTCACCTGTAGATCTTAGGTTTTCATACCTGTGTCATGTGACTCACCTGTAGATCATAGGTTTTCTTACCTGTGTCATGTGACTCACCTGTAGATCATAGGTTTTCTTACCTGTGTCATGTGACTCACCTGTAGATCTGGCCTGTTCTGTCGGAGACTCTGAACACTCATCAGGCTGATAACCGGATCGTGGAGCGATGCTGTCGCTGTCTCAGGTTCGCTGTACGATGTGTTGGGAAAGGCTCCGCCTCCCTGCTGCAGCCTCTGGTCACTCAGGTGAGACACACCTTAGCCTCAGTTTGTTTTGACATTAGCATTGACATGGACTGATTGGATGTTATAATCAGTGATGGCCTCATTGATTGTTTGGACAGGTGATAGAGACACACAAACAGGACAGTTTACCTGTTCACCTGGTAGTTTGAAAACACCTGTTCATCTTACTTCCTGTTGTCATCAGATGGTGAGTGTGTACCAGGTGTATCCACACTCCTGCTTCCTGTACCTGGGCAGCATCCTGGTCGATGAGTATGGCATGGAGGAGGGTTGCAGGCAAGGCTTGCTCGACATGTTACAGGTAAACACACACCTGTCCACCATTTAATAAATACACACATCTGTCCACCATTTAATAATACACACACCTGTCCACCAGGTCAACACAAACACACACCTTTCCACCAGGTTACCACAAACACACACCTTTCCACCAGGTTACCACAAACACACACCTTTCCACCAGGTTACCACAAACACACACCTGTCCACCAGGTTACCACAAACACACACCTTTCCACCAGGTTACCACAAACACACACCTTTCCACCAGGTTACCACAAACACACACCTTTCCACCAGGTTACCACAAACACACACCTGTCCACCAGGTCAACACAAACACACACCTGTCCACCAGGTGTTCAGGTTAAAATGATGATGACGACCCCCTCCTCTTCCTCAGGCTCTGTGTATGCCGACCTTCCAGTTGTTGGAGCAGCAGAACGGTCTGAGGAATCATCCAGACACCGTGGACGACCTGTTCAGACTGGCCACCAGGTGAGTCAGCAATGAAATCTCCCAATAATCTGTTTGAAATCTTCCTATACATGTACGTCCTACCTGTATGTACTTGTATATTTACCTGTATATACTTGTATGTATACCTGTGTGTCTACCTTTATATTTACCTTCACCTTTAACTGTTGATCTACCTGAAACCACCTGTCGTCTGTCACTCAGGTTTGTCCAGAGGAGTCCGGTCACTTTGCTCAGCAGCAGCGTCATCATACACATCATCCAGTGTGCCATCGCAGCCGCCTCATTGGACCATCGAGATGCCAACTGCAGCGTGATGAAGTTTGTGAGAGACCTGATCCACACGGGGGTCGCCAACGACGTGAGTCCCAAATATTTAAAAGAATAAAAAATACTGAAACTTAAACAAGGATTTGAAAAAGTCGATGACGAGTGTTCAACATGAAAAATAAAAACACGCTCCGTCTGTCTTTAGCACGAGGAGGACTTTGAGGTGAGGAAGCAGCTGATTGGTCAGGCCATGGAGCAGCACGGCCAGCAGCTCGTCACTCAGCTGATGCACTCGTGTTGTTTCTGTCTGCCGCCGTACACACTGCCCGACGTCGCCGAGGTGCTGTGGGAGGTCATGCTGTTCGACCGACCTGTGAGTATGACAAACAGCCTGGCTCCTTCTCAGGTGAGGCAGCTGTGATTCTCAGGTGTTGATGTCGTCTCTCTGTGTTTGTTCCAGACGTTCTGTCGCTGGTTAGAGAACGCTCTGAAAGGTTTACCAAAGGAAACAACTGGAGGAGCCGTGACCGTCACTCATAAACAGCTGACAGACTTCCACAAACAGGTCACCAGGTGAGACACGAGCAGCCGAGTAAACATGAGTAACCGTGGCAACATGGGTTAGTGAGGGATTCAGGGACATGTGGACCAGAGTGAGGGGTTCAGGGACATGTGGACCAGGGTGAGGGGTTCAGGGACATGTGGACCAGAGTGAGGGGTTCAGGGACATGTGGACCAGAGTGAGGGGAGAAATATCAAGAGATCACAGGTGACTGTAACCATGGTAACCACTGTCTCTGTTTTTTCTGTTTAGTGCGGAGGAGTGTAAGCAGGTGTGCTGGGCAATCAGAGAGTTCACCAGACTGTTTCGATAGCTGCAAGCTTCACACAACACAGGTAACTACACACAACACACAACTACACACAACACAGGTAACTACACACAACACAGGTAACAACACAACACAGGTAACTACACACAACACGGGTAACAACACAACACAGGTAACTACACACAACACAGGTAACAACACAACACAGGTAACTACACACAACACACAACTACACACAACACAGGTAACAACACAACACAGGTAACTACACACAACACAGGTAACTACACACAACTACACACAACACAGGTAACAACACAACACAGGTAACAACACAACACAGGTAACAACACAACACAGGTAACTACACACAACTACACACAACACAGGTAACAACACAACACAGGTAACTACACACAACACAGGTAACTACACAACACAGGTAACTACACACAACACAGGTAACAACACAACACAGGTAACTACACACAACTACACACAACACAGGTAACAACACAACACAGGTAACTACACACAACACAGGTAACAACACAACACAGGTAACTACACACAACACAGGTAACTACACAACACAGGTAACTACACAACACAGGTAACAACACAACACAGGTAACTACACACAGCACACAATGACACACAGTACAGGTAATACACACAGTACAGGTGAGCTGATGGCGTTCACTTTCTTTCAGGTTAAATCTTTTGTTGACCAACTTTCAGAGGTGACGGCAAAAAGCTGCGACTGCAGACGACGATCCAAACGGACGAGACGAAACGTAAACAGGATGATGATGGAGGAGAGACTTTGAATGTGAAACAGGAAGCTGCACTCTGAAGGGACAGAGTGAAGTCCTCCAACCCCGACCCCTGACCTCACCTGCAGCAGGTGTCAGGTGGACGGGGTCGGGTCCTGCAGGTGGGCGGGGTTGACAAAGTGAACTGTTGTGGATCAGTCCTGTTGGATCCTCATCAGTTATAAATCGTAGGACGTGCCTGGTCAACAGTTTTTAAGAGAAGATTTATTTTTGGGACTTTGGTCAAGATGTTTTTTTGTCCGTGCCATACAAAGAGCCAAAAGATTTCCCATAATGCTCTTGGCTGAGCGGCTGCCTGTACAGGCTGATTGCTGGAGGATTTGGCGTCACCTTTGACCTTTTAACTTTGATTGAATTTTAGTTGTGTTTTTTTTTCCACAAAGTGAGATGGAGTGAACTCTGAGCAAGGAGACAGAGGGACTGACACCATGACATCATCGGTGATGTAGCCTTGTTGAAAACAATAAAAAACAGCTGAAATGATTTTGTGTGTTTTAATGTCGGAGTCGTTCATTTTCAGACCCTAACTTTGATTTTCTGCATCTTCACGCACACTCCTAAACGCTGCTGTTCATCAGAAGGTGTGAAGGTAACAACACAAAGATGTGTCGAGAGCATGCGGCAAACTCCAGTGTTGAAAAATGAAGTGTCAAATCCTGCAGTTCCTGGAGTGTCCACTAGAGGCTGGCTGCAGAAGCACAGGAAGTCACATACACACCCATTCTAAAAAGCCTGTTTTTACAGCAGAGATGAACATGTTTACAGCCTGGTTCAAAAAACCAAATAGGTGTGATTAGCTCATGTCTGGATGGACACACACTGTACGGGGGGTGAATGTTTTGATGACTCATCAGTTTTGATTTGATGAAGGATAAGAGTTATTCAGCTGACCTGATTGACAGCGGACATAGTGCAACGGTTTGTCAGGAGGCTTATAACCCGCCTTTTTACACCGCAGGTCACACCGACACATTCAAACCCTGATGGTAGAGGCTGCTGTGTAAAGTGTCCATCAGTTTGAACTTATTCCATTCATACACTGCTGATGAAGCAGTGGGAGCAACTTGGGGTTAAGTGTCTTGCGCAAGGACACATCGGACATGATGCAGCAGGAGCTGGGGATCGAACGCCCGACCGACTCTGCTAACTTTGCAACAGCCGCCCCAGCCTGGAGACCACCATCGATGGGACTCCAAAGCCCCCTGCAGTAACAGATGCAGTAACTGGGAACATTTAAGGAGGTACGTTTAGGGTTCAGATCCTGTTTTGAAAAGGTTAGTAAATAATAATCCAACTCAGATTTTTTTCGGGGGGGGGGGAGTGAAAATGAGGATTTTTGGCAGCTGGATTTAATGTTTGTCCTCCAGGTTGATATGGGGCAGAAGTGAGTTAACAAACCTTTAACTCTGCAGTTTAATTTGGAAATGGACCCGAGGGGGGCAGTATTGAACCGTGATAAAAGTAAGCTTCCTGATTTAGGAAGTTGATGTAGACGTGAAGTCTTAAGTTTAGTGAGTACACATCAATGTATTTGACAAATAAAGACAAAGTTGTAATTCTACTTTTTCTAGTGCTGCTCCGATTGTGAGAATCAGGGCCAAAGCCGATATTTAAAGTAACGATTTAGCCGATTTAGTCGATGTTTTTTCATTTGATCTTTTTGTGTAAGACTCCAACAAGGCTAATACTTTGTATGTTCAAACAAACAAACATACATATTATGTATGAATGTTTTTTCGACTGGTATGTATGTTATTTCTTCCATTTTATTCTTCCATGGATAAACATAATGCATGAATGTATGTACGAACATATGAATGTATGAATGTACGTACATACAGTATATACAAATAAAGACTTCATCGTGAATTATTGTAAGTATACATACATATGTTCTTACATACCTATGTCGAAAAATTGAAAAAACGACATACTAACTTCTGAAAAAGTGACTTATTCCTAATTTGATAAAAAAACACATACATACCTGTCGAAAGAACCCACATACATTAATTAAACGTCCAAAAATAAAAAACTGTCGAAATTTTCAAAAAACATGTCCCAATTTTTGAAAAAAAATGACATACTAATCTGTCGAAATTTCTGAAAAAGCGACAGATTCCTAATTTGATAAAAACCACACATACCTCTGTCGAAAGAACCCAATCGTCCAAAAATCGATACCTATACATACATACCTATGTCCAAAAAATAGAAACAAATATATATTCATACATGTGTTCATAGATACCACTTCAAACTTTACTGTGAGTTGGGAAACAGAGGACACAGAGAGCAGCTTGTTTCAGAGGTATTACTGTTTTTATTTCAGAGTGTCTGAGAGAAAAGGCACTAAACCAAACCGGGAGAGTGACACTGACTTTGAATGGGAGAAAGAGAGAAATGCAGAGGAGTGGAGACAGGTTTAAATGAACATTAATAAAGTTTTCACAACACCAGGCATACAAACACACCAAACATCCACACACACACACACACACTATCTACACGTCCTGATTGATTAAATACAGCAGGCTGAAAACACCAGGAGCTTATAAAGGACAGTTCCGCAAATATTCGTTTGTCAAAATATCTAAACATGCCCGAACATCATGAGGAGTTTCACAGCAAAAATGTAAAATGTAGTGTTTCAGTTTCTCTTTGTCTTTCATGAAAAACCCCGGGAGCCAGCCTGACAACAACAACAAAATAAAGCATTAACTCTTAGAGAGATCATAAATAAAATGTTTCCTGCAGACAGCCTCATTCAGACGGGATTATCGTCTCAGTGATTCGACTCACCGTCCATAAATTTAGCGTAGAAATCAGGGAAGAAAGATCGATGCCTTCCTGAGAATCATCTCGTAAAGTTGTCTTTTGTTTTCCCGTTTAGTCGTCTCTGCTTCTGTGAATACTCTGAAAACTCAGCGTACTTTTAGGAGACGTACATCGAGTCTGAATGAGGCTTTGATTATCTTTGCATCCAACTGTACTTCAAATCCTGGAAATAAACTTTCTTCATAACTTCCTACAAACTAGAATTAAATATAAGCTTTAAGTAAACATTTGATTGTTTGGCCTTTGTTTTTTTACTGTGGGGTGACTTATGCGTCTGAACATGTATAACCTACATGAGTTTAGTTGATGATAGACGACTTTACTTGAGTAGAGCAGCAGCAAAACAGATTTTATGTTGCTTAAGTCGCTGTGATAAAGTAGAAGAGCAACTGTTAGTAAAATGATTTCTAGAGGAAAGATCCTACAGCGTTAAAAGTACAGGTTACAGGAACAGTCAGAGAAGAGGGCCTTAAAGAGAATGTTATATTAGATTTAGTGTTTTTACAAAAAGCCCTTTTAATTCACAAATGTAGTCAAACTTAAAGGTGACATATCCTCCTCCTCCTCTTCTTCAGTGTAAATAAGTCTCAGAGCTCCTCAAAACATGTGTGTGAAGTTTCTTGTTCTAAATCCACTCTGATCCTGTATTTGATCATGCCTATAAACCCCTCTATTTCAGCCCTGCTCAGAACAGACTGTTTCTGTGTCTGTACCTTTAAATATGTAAATGAGCTGTGTCTGACCACGCCCCCTCTCTGGAAGGGCTTGGGTGTACTCTGTGCTTTCTCGCTCCATGTCCTGTTGTTTACGGTGAGAAGGCAGACTCAGAGGGCAGAACAAACACCTAGCTGTGGGAGTGTCACCCACCTGGGGGAGGGGCTACTGCCCTTTGTGATGTCATGAAGGGAAAATCTCCAAACAGCCTGTTTGAGCACACATTTTCTGAAAAGTGGAGCAGGGAGAAGACGGAGAGGATGGACTTTTCTCATCATTGGGGGGTTTGTAGACGGACTAGAGACACATGTTAGAGTGAGAGGAACATATGAAGTGTGTTTAGCAGAACATGTGATCTTTAATAAAATAAATTATGCGTGGGGAACTTTCATGTAAAATCAAAGTTTTTTTTTCTCACAAAATGGGAACTAAAAGTATGCATGTTTATTTTTACTAACCTTGTTTGAGGACAATGTGTGTTAGTATCAAACTGTGGCCCTCATTCCTCAGCATTGTCTCAGAAAGTTTTTTTTTAATTTTTGAATAATTTGACTTTCGGGATGATTAAAGCAAAGGTCAAAGGTCCCCAGATCTGTTTAAATACCTACATATTAAAAATGACATCTTCATTCACATGCCGCTTGTCTTCATATATCGGAGTGTTAATGTGTTCTTCAGCAAAGTAAATCTCATACTTTGGATTCAAACTCTCAACAGAAACCCACAAAAATCACGATATCAGACGTCTCTGTCCTCCAGTCCGTTTGTGATGATTGAAAACAAACACAGTTATTCTCTCGCACACATAATCACACACACACACACACAGAGAGGAGAGGTGACGGAAGGAGAGAAGAGGGGACCAGATCCAGGGAGGGAGGGGCTTCAGGGCAGAGTCTGCTGTGATTGGAGGGGGGCGGGGCTGTCCATCGGTCACAGCTGGTCTTTGAAGTAGCCGAGCTTGGCGACGGACATTTCTCTACGAAGCTGCATCACCTCCCAGAACATCTGCTCGGCTGGAAACACAGCACAGAGAAACATGATTCAACTTAAAGGAGCAGTATGTAACTCTGACACC